CTTGGATGAGGTGTGGTGGTGGGATGGCTTTTTGGTTGGGCCAGCGAAACCAGATGAAGCTCCAGTTCCAGATGGGAAGATTGGCTGCGATTCATTGAAGGCTCGGACTTGGTAACTATTTCGACAATTAGCAAATTGTAGGGATTAGATATAAAAGGCATGTTGTACTTACTGGCCACCAGGACGATAGATGTTTGTTGCCATAACAGATTGGCCGAGCGCGAAGCTGGCGAGGATAACGGCGTTGCACTTCATTTTTGTTGAGGTAGGATTGTCGAAATCTTTAATTTTTTGTTTTGTACAGAGGATCTGGCCTACTAGTGTATTCTTGATGTATAAGAAGAACGTAAGAGATGGCACAGCCAAGGGATTGTGTTAAGAGCAGATCTTTGAAGAAAGAGAGACTGAAGGTGAGATACTTCGAAAGCTGGTAAAGAGGGAAGAAATCAATTGAAAATCACGGAGACGAAGAAGTATTTGAACAGCAACAAAATGATAGTGGATGATTCCAGATCATTTGAAATGTGTGGGTCGATTCAACAACCGCCCCTCCATAATTTAAGGTACATTGATCTGGTGGATCAGGAAGCTTGACTGAAAGCTCGGGACATATTTCAGCACTTGCTATCAACCAATCGCAATGTATTGGAGATATATGTAAAAAGAAAACTGGCTGGCTGTTTTCTTTCTTTTCCCCTGGCAAGATTGTAGCTGTAGCCAGCCGCGTTCACCAATCTCACCGCCGCTGAAGTGTTTCATTGATAATTAATCGTATAAGATTGACTTCATTTGTACTATAATGTTACCAATCTCTTTGGAAAAACAGCAAGACATGTGTTATCAATCCCTCAGGGGAAAAACCAGGGAGTTTACTGGTAGAAATATATGAAAATCATCTCATGTTCGATTAGGGTGGATTGGCACAGGTTGGGAAAACTTTCGCTCTAGATTTCTTAATGACATTCAAGGATACATGCGTCACTGCTAGTCCCAAATAGGTTAAACCTCATCGTTTAATATAGTGGATTTGATTAACGACGTTTCGAATTGACGATTTATAAAGTAGGCCGAAATATTTCATTCGAAATGTTCCAACCAGATATCAAGATTATGACGACAAGATACGCAGGATACACCATCAATACTCTTTCTTTAGAATCTCACTTGGTTAAACTTCAGAGGCGCGCTTACTTGCATTCAACAATATCGATTCTGTGATACCGCATCTTAATCTAGACAGTCGAGCCGCCTTCGACGCCAAAAGATCGTGTGCAGGCTGACAGCTTCCTTGGCCACCGAGTCAACAACACCATCGCTATCACAATCATAACCACCATCGAAAAGTTTCCTGAGATCGGATCATCATTCTGTGATTGTGATATGCGAAGAATAAGCGGTTGCTTCGGATGTCCGGTTCTTATCAGTCCAATCATTCCATCAAATGTTTCCACGGATTGGGGAAGGACAACCTTGTTGACCCCCTATCATTACAGAAGCAAGGATTCTGACAGTGGTAGACCTTACCACACCAATATAAATATCCCTGACTTGGTAAAAATCTCGAACCAGAAACTTCAGCCAAGTAAGCAAGGTTTTGTCAAGTTGTCTCTTTGATACAAGATCATCACTGGAAAAAATCTTTGATTATTCAAACTTATAATACGAGAAGTTGAATAGAACCACATTTTGTTGCCGGGCTTCTCATTTCGATTTGATTGTTGAACACAACATAAATTGCTCTCGTGGCTGTTCGATACTCATTGGATCCCAAATGCCAAGGCTTCGAGACATAATAATGATTTGTACCATGGCTATCTGACAGCGGAGAATTTTCTGGAACTGAGCTCTCACCGTTAGTTCTTCTTGAGGTATGTACATATTGCGGGAATTTGCTCAAACGAGATCGACAAGCTAAAAAAAACTCCGTCCGATGTTTCCCCCATTCAGCCCACAATGATGAAAGACTGGCGGAGTGCTCCATCCTTCAAGATCAGGGGAGGTTAACGAACGAGTCGTCGCTCCAAATGTCCACTCCTCTATTGTCCATCACTAACCTTAGTTCTGCTTGTTTGAGTTCATACTTTATCAGATTGCTTCGACGACTATGAGCATTTTCATAGTGACATTCCTCGGTAGACCCCTTGATTCGTTATCCCGTCCATGCAATATGCTTCTATTCAAATCATTGAGACTTCAGAGAAATTGATTCAACGTACATACCTTCCATTTGACTTGTCACATCGCTGCATTCAACATGGGAAAGCCATTGGCCAAAGTTCGAAATCGCAACAGCCCCTTCATTACATAACAATCAGACAATCAGAAAATTTGTCATCTCATTCAATCAACGCATAGATTGCGTTCACACGCCGAAAGCTTTTCTTCTGGTGACAGCTTTCGCAATAATCCGGGAGAAGTGGGAACAAGGCAAATTCAAGCAGAATTGCACGAGATGGTGTCGCTAATATCGTTCTTTTCAGTCAGGATTTCCGAGAATTTCTGTCCCCATGCACAACGTCCGGTGCTTTTGAAATATCTATTCGACACATAATCTCAGGATCGGAGTTGTTGGTTTGACGGAGTCTCTGTTGAAAGGCCTTAACATTGGCCTACATAAAAAAAGACATTGCCTTTTGGGCTTGAAACCTTGCCTTGAATGGTTACAGCCGTCTTTTATCACACATGACACCATTCTATGTTTCTTTTTATACATGTTAATCGCTATGCTAGGCTGCAATTTATTGGTACCGGAGCGCTGGGTACTGTTCTACGGAGAAGTGCCAGCATACGGTCTATTTTTCAATTCTTCTTGGAAGAAATTCTTGCCCGGAAGAGTTCTAGAGCAACCCAAACCGCCGTAAATACGACCTTATCTGCGAATAAATTTTGAATACGGCGTTCTTTTCTGGTATAAGTATATGCCATAAGTAGCACAAGATCTTGATTGACTACACTTATCTCAATCAGGCTCAAGGATCACAGCACTACACTCTATTCTGAATTCCATATATCCTCGAAACTTTTACCTGTTCGATAACACTAGTCGATATGACACGTAAGAAGGCAGACTCCAAAGCTTCCACTCATGCAATTCATGTCCCTTCCGATACAGAGTCATCGGAAAGCGATACCTCGTTTGTGGCTAGAGATAACAAGACCGGTAAAGAGTTGCTGAAAATGAGTCGGAAATTTACAGGTCAACTTGCTCCGCGTCGTCAGAAAGATCCCATTCTCTCCAAGAAGTGATTACTCCTAGAATATGATCGTTTGCTTTCGGGATCTCTGGACGACATTCGGTCTAAAGGGTGGTGTTTAATAGCGCGAACTAGTGATTTTAGCAATATTTTTCTGTTATCATCAATAAAAAAATACGTCTCTTCTTTGCCTAATTTTCTTTGGTTTGTGAACTCTTCGCACACACGGTATGGACTGGCATTCTTGATTTTCAAAGATCTTCGAAGGAGACTTCCGTATCTGAGAACTTTCCTGCATTTGCGATAAGTTTCCGGTTTGTATTAGTATTTCACAGTGTCTTGTGCTATACTAACTGCTAGGTAACTTACACTCGAGCTTCGAAGTTTGCCGGCGTCATAACACATATTATGTTACTAATCAAGGGCTCTGCAAACTTTATTTAGTCCTCCACTCCATATATGAAACACGTTTGGGCTCTTCTTGGACATTGTTCATTGCCAGATGACGGAGGGAAAGCACCAATTATTCATACGCAAGTGGAGATAAAGACCCTGCCTACACTATCGTGGCTATTTTACTTCTCTGAAAAGACATAAGAAGTGTATCACCTTGGATGAGAATAACTTTCTCGGGACATGTATAGACATTGATTAATTCCACCCACCTGTAACCCAATCGTTCTTTAATTTCAAATTGCTTTCTCCGATTTGCATAGTATCCGACATTATTACCCTATCTAATTTTATATGTGAACTTTGATCATTTCCTACTTTTCAGTACGCACCCTCCATTTGAATGACTGTTATCATTTCCATTGTTCTTTTAACAGGCAGCTTATCTTAATCCGATGTCATCAATCAAGTTGGGCTTACTCCAATATTGTCATCACGTATCTGAATTACTGTTGTTAAATCTTAATATCCATAGTATCAATTCACAGCTGGCGCCAAAAGATTGCTACCTCCAGGGATTAATTCAGAAGTAAGTGACCCTCTCCTTACAACTGTAATATCGTCCTCTTTGACAAGTAAGACATCTCCTTTCTTGGTTACTTTCATAGTTAAAGAAGAGTCTTTTGTTGTATCTAGCCAATCGGCCGGGAAGAAGGAATGGCGTGCGAAACGATTTGTTCTAGCAGAACTCTTGTCGGTAGCACATACCCACTGACTGCCATGTAAGAAGATCAGGTTTTCTAAGTGTTCTATACCTACACAAGTTGTACCGATCAAAACTTTAACATTCTTGCTTAACACACAGTAAGAAGGGATTGGAACTGCAGCTTTCGACTTGGGTGTGAAGTCAGAGGTGCTCCAGATCACTTATTTGACTTTGAATTGCTCTGGTTCGACTCGATAAATGTCGTCATATCAGGCGGAATACAATGCTATTTGTATAGCAGTGGGGTTTGCACAGGATAAGGTGGATTTCAACAGTAGCATCCCCTCGTCGTGATACCTTGCCAATGTTCTCCAAGTACAAACTCTGGCAATTTACTAACAGATGTAGGGTTGCCTCGGTCGATCGGAGTTCCAAGAGATTGTCATGCCCAAAGTTTTCAATCATCAATGTTACATTTTAGCAAGAGGCAAAGGAAGTATAGGGCATGATATTGGGGCTGGAATTTCAAAGCCATCTTTTGGAACGATTTCGCATCAGTAAATCATGTAGCGACAATTGACGCTATCCATTCATATTGTGACTGCCGAATGCTTCAACTGCGTCAAATCTCTCCACAAACGTTTGCTCCTCGATTATACTTACTACGAATACGAAGACCAAAAATTCTACTGAGGCATTCAACAACAATGTCTAATGCAAACGCAACTACACCACGAATCTTCATCGCTCGACACGGTAAGTTGACGTTTACACTTTCTAATGGAAAATGAATAGCCCAGTTCTAATATTCCCATTACATCCAAGGTGAAACAGAATGGACCATCAACGGCCGCTGCACTGGCAAGGCTGAAATTCCCCTCACCGCAAACGGAATCGCTCATGTTCAAGGCACGGGCGAAGTCCTCGTCGGTGCTGGCAAACTCATCGACCCTTCCAAACTAACACATGTTTTTACTTCACCTCGTAAACGGGCTGTTGATACGTTATCGATGGTGCTCGGGCCTGCATATAAAGATCGACTTGATCAAGAGAACAAAATCACCACCACAGAGGACATCGTAGAGGGGGATTATGGGGATAATGAATGCTTGAAACTGGATGAGTTTATAGAAAGCAGACTTAAGAGAGACCTACCAAAATGGGATATCTGGACTCAAGGCTGTGAGGGCGGAGAGTGAGCAAAATCTGTCGTGCGCATGTTGGTGTGCTGATTGGTTTTCGCATAGAGATTAACATTTGGTGCTTGATCCAGATCGGGAGAAGAAGTACACGCGCGTCTGGATAGACTCATCGACCGGATTTATGAGCTGCAGAGTCCTCATGTAGAAAAAGTGGCGAGCCTGCTGATGTTTTGATAGTAAGATTGGATGTCTCGTTGAACTTTTGTTTTGATGTGGCTAATTACCTTTTGAACAGGTTGCTCACGGTCACATCTTACGGGCGTTCACGAAGAGATGGTTTCGCTATGCTATGGACTTTCCCTTCCAGATGATGATGGAGCCGGGAGCGATTGGTATCATGAGTCATGTACAACACAATATTAAGGAGCCGGCTATTTTAGCTGGCGTGGGATTTCCTTTATCTAAGTAGGTTGATTTTATCAGAATGTTTGCAAGACAGGAGGATGCGACTGATGGATATATTAATACAAGGACATATGCTATTACTTCTGATGACTTTATACGAGTTTCGACTACCATTCAGTAAAAATGGAGTGACATGACGTGTAACGTTCCAAGCACTGCATTACAGGGTAAAAAAAAGCGTCAAACTATAAGCCCCTTGTAACCCATTACTTTATTGCCGTTCAAGTGATATTGCTCTAGTGTAGCTAGCCCCATCTCCAACTAATACTGCCCATGTAAGAAGAGAGTCTTCGTCCGCCTTCGTTGAGTCTCTTTTTCGACACTTTTATACATACACATATGAGCAGACATTATGGGGATAATCTGGTCTTCTCAGTGCTAGAGTTGTGCGTTTTCTGACCACAAACAACCAAACTGACTTCCTTGGTGTGGCCGCCTGCTCCAAGTCTCCAGACGACAATTTACCTGAAGGATTTTCTAGCTATGAGAAATTGATCTATCTACATGTGCTCTTCGAAACAAAGTGAAGGGACTGAGGAGATAAGCTATCTTACATACTTGATAAACCACAGGCTTCTGTGTTCTTTCGATCGCGGAGTGAGATGAATCTCAACCTTGAAGGTCTAGAAAAAGGATTACCATGGGTCTAAAGCATCATATGTACCAGTGATCCCTTCATCTTTGAAACTAAACGGAGAAACTCTTCGTGACATTGGGATTGAGGTATTCCGCCATCCACCACTTTTGAGCCACAGACATCAAGTCTAATGTCAGATATTGACAAAGTGAACACCTAATTTCGATAACGGTATGTTTTTTGTTTTACCAGTAAAGAGTTAAACAGAGAAGAACAGTGTTCATTATTGTATGCTACACTAATGCATTATCTCCTCCATAGCCATAGACCGAGACCACAGTTGATCATTTTCATTAAAAACCGATCGCCGATGCAAGATGTGTTTTTTTCCTTCCTCAATGATATCAATTTAGCTCGAGCCTGCAAAACCCACATCTCCTTATTGCGATTCATCGCTTCAACTCCAAATATCATGATTTTTCAACCCCATCACTCCCAGCAATGCTCCTTCGATATATCCATCACTCATCCTTCGTTCCGTACACACTCCCCGGATATCCTCTCACTTCTTCCCTCCCTCACCCCCCTCGTAACTATATCCCAACGCCTCTGCTCCAGCATCATTGTCCCAATCCTCCTTCTTCAATCCCTCTTCCACATGCAATCTCTTAAGGTCCTGATGATTCCAACTTTGACGTCTGTCAAGATTGGGTTTCCAGGTCTCGACTGAAGATGGCAGGGTTTCGCCGCCAGAATTGCGACGTCCGTCAGGGATGGATACTTCGATGATCTCGGCAAGGTGAGAGGCGGTAGAGCCGGAGGTGGGTTTGGAATGGTGGGGGAGAGAAGCTTCGTCGCTGTGACTGGGCTTAGATTGCTGGGATGCGATTGATGTCATGTTGTTTTGTTTGAGGTTGGTTTTGAGGTTGAAGGTGTTGAAGTTATTGAATGGGTCAGTAGATAGGCAGAGTATAGATTTGTTTGCGATTTTTCAATCGAGAGACTGATCAATGAGTATATGGTTGAAGGAGGTAATAGCTTCGTTCACTATTGATTGATTGCAAGAGGGTGATTGAACCTGAGCAATGGCAGGATAGCTTTGTTTGTGATGATTTGATTTTTTGAATGACGTCAATAGTTGTAGAAGATATGCTATGAAAATACGGAAACTACGATGAGCTTTTGAGCTTTTGGTTTTTTCGTGCTTGTAATTGTAAAAGTGTTAAATGGTGGATAGAAATAGAAATCAATTGTCAGTTATCCAGTCGTATATAAATACCCCTCCAAGAATCATTCGACCGAGGATTTAAAATCACGAGAAAGGTCAATTAGCAACACCGTCATCTAGCATACCATCATTGATCATACCATAAATTAGCATCCCACCAATTAGCATGCCACCACTTAGTATACCCGTTTCCTATTCACATATAGACATCCAATCAGTAAGCCAGTAAGCCAGTAGATATCAATACAACCTCACCAAGCAAGAACGATGATAAATAGTAATGACGATCTCCAGTTCTCAACAGTAAAATAAGCTTCCTACTGTTGATCTTACCCCTCTTCCCCAAGCTATCCTTCAAATCCAATCAATATTCATTCATTCACCAATAAAGAAATCCTTTGACCTGATGGGAAAACGGACTTCCCTCATACATTGGCGCATAAGCGGTATGACATGTTCTCTTTCTGACATCTCCCTTTCTCAAAACATGTGTTTCCAGAAAACAAGCTTCACATCTATCCACGTCAGGATTGTCTCGAGATTGAATCGAAGTCCGGGTTCAATTGGAGGCACGTGTACTAGCTCAATGCGGGGTCGCTTAACCTTAATTATGGGGATCTAATCGATAACATTTTTATTTTCTTATCGCCACTTTAAACCACTCGCTGCCCAGTGCACCCAACAACAACAACAACAACAGCAACCTTGCGACTTCCTCAATATTTTATGTTTGTTTTCCCTTTCACTCGTTGTCGCAAACCGGATCATTACATCAATATCTTCTACTTCTCTATGTCTTATCAGATATCAATATTTTAGTACTCAATATACTTGCGCCATTCACTTGCAACAACGGAACGGATTTCATAAATGCTTTTTTGATGTTTTAATACATGATAACCTCGTCTGAAACTCTTCAAAGTTACTCTTACCTCTCGATGCGCTGACTGTACAAGACCGTCTCGAGAAATATGCAACCAGCAGAATATAAACGCGAAATGATTAACTGACGCCTCGCTATGCAAATAAAAGGGTATGGGGACCGGAACATCGCCTGATATCTATCATCCATCCATCATCGTATACAAACAGTTTTTTTTCTCATTATGCAATCCAACCATACCGGGACACGATCATCATGAATGTCGTTTATGTTACAGTTTGCGAATCGATGTTGAAGTTATGAAGCCTTTACATCCTATGACAATTCGATTCTTTCCTTGAGCCAATCCTCAAGTCGTCGTATTTAAGCACATCTATGGAGTTCTTGGACGCTTCCAATAATATTGCTGCGAAAAGGTTAGATAAGAGGAAATTGATCAATTCATGGGTGAGTATTACCTTGTGCTGCTTTCTACAGTTTCTCAGACTAGGTTTCCTTAATCCTTCTTGGACTGTCTCCTTTCTTGACTGATCGGTATCTTCGTCTGGGATATAGTAATATTCACTCTCAAGTGGCTTTCCCGCAGCGTCCTTGCCCTCTCGATGGATCTCGCCGATGAATGATGTTCTGTTCAGCATCTTGCGAAGATCGTCCTTTGTGAGGCCCTTGTTCTCCTTCTTTGAAGGACTAATACCTCTGAGATTGGATGGAAGGTTTCTGAGGATAGTTGACAATGGCATGGATTGAAGACGAGAATAGGCGAGTTGATTGGCTACATGGTTAATGACAGGAGTGATAGCACCTTCATCAGTGGATGTAGAGCTCGATCGCTTTTCAATAGATGTCTTAGATTTGTGCCCATCACGACCACGACCTTCTGGGGCATGTCCAGCTGTGAACTTTGCCATTCTCGAGGATAAATTTGCACCAAATGGACCGAAGGAGTGAACAATGGGATCATTTTCTTCATCAGGGTCTTCATCTGGCTCACTCAACTCACTCTCTTGACTAGCTGGGAATGATGCACTGAATGATGTTGCAGCGACTGTTGGTGAGTATACTGGCTCAGGATCTTTAGGCTCAATTGCTGGAGCTGGCTCTGATTTGTCTTCATATACTTGGATAAAGGTCTTTTCTGCATCATCAGCAAAGAGGTTGGCTAGATTGGCAGAGGAAAGGGTTTGGCGAGCAGGTGTTGGTGATACTGGTGACGAATGATGTTCAACACGACGGATTGGACTTGAATGAATAATGTCACCCTGAGCAGTAACGGCAGTAACTTTACCCCTAGGAGAACTATCTTCACTCCACGAAGGAACCTCTGTTGGAGCAGCGGAGTCAAGATTATCACCTTGTGGCCAAGCAACCAGAACCCGTGCATCCTGAACATCCAACATAATTTCAGCGTTTTCAGTTTCCGAGGTGAAACTATCTCCCTTTGCCAACTCCCATGTTCGACCTTGACAATGTAACTTTACTCCGTTCCATCCACAACAGATAATCTCAATCTTATTCGACTCAAGAGGAACCGTAGCAGCAATATATCTAGCTTTGATATGGACACGAGAGATGAGACGATTGGCGGACAATTGATAGTGGGAGGAATTGCTTGATCTACCCATGAGAAGAGAATCTCCATCTTCAGGTAGGGTGATTGTTGGCACAGCTGAAAGGGGAGCCCTCTCAACAGAGGATCGACTTCGATGGAGACCGGCTCGAGCGTGTACCCCTGGAGGAGGGGAGGATGAAAGAATACCAGTTGCGGAGGTAGGAATTGGTGTTGGATACTTAGTGTAAGCTGATTCGAATGCAGATGGTGACGTACGAACTCTCTTGTTGTTACGTCCTGGCAGACTTGGAGAGGAAGAAGGAAGTGGCTCGAAGGGTGGAAGTAAGGTTGGTGCTGGACGTTTTGTACCTGCCAGAGCTGGCAAGGCAGGTTGAGCATTAGCCTTACTTGGTGAAGAGTCCATCATGATAAATATCCTTTGATCACGAATGATGAAAGGTAAGAGTAATTTTCTTCAAGGTGGATATCTCAGACCGCGACCTAAACGCGGTGGGCGAGTTGAGATTCTAACGCGAGGCTCATAAGATTTTGAGAGATGCCGAGGACGGTAAAGAAGATTTTGGAAGAAGTATTTGGTAAGACAGAACTAGAAGAATTGAAAATCTACGAAATAGAATGGAAAGATTGTAGAAAGACGAGACTTAGTTTTGTATGGGCCTCCGACCAGGTCTCTGATTGAGAGATGGAGGATCGGGAAAGTTGAAGAGGAGGTTGAGAAGGTTCCCAGACCCATCGGTACCCAGACGCGACCCGCGTTGGAGTCTAAAAATGTTCATTGGCCGCTTTAAAAGATTATGAATTCTGCTATTTCTACAACCTGCATTCATTGAACTGCACATGCATTTTTCACATAGAGCTGGAGATATAGGTAATACAATTCTGAATTGAGAAAATGATGGTGAATTTATATAATGAGTTGATTGATTTATGTCAATGTGTCATTCACTTGTATGGATATGATTTAAATAATGACTTGGATGACTTTCATTTCAGTCAATTGGAAAGTATAGTACAGAGTAGATACTAGACATTCCACCTTCATAACTAGGTACCTAGGTAGGTAGGTAGGTAGGTAGGTAGGTAGGTAATACTCTAGTCCTCTATTCTAGTTCTCTACCACGTCTACCTAGTATAACTCAAGTTCAAGCAATAACTTTTACCAAAGCTTATTTTTATATCTCACTATAATCCACGTCTAATACGACTAGGTTTTTATATGTAAAACTCAAAACCTGCCAATACTCTCGAGCCTATTCATATACAAATTTATATGTATACCTAATAGGTAGGTATTTGTTTATATCTATACTAGATTTTACACCGTCCTGTCCAATAATACTCTTTCATAACTTTTTTATACTTTGCATTCTTCTCATCTCTCATCCATTCATTCCAGTTCTCGTCACCAACCACGAGTTTCCAAGGCTCAGTCAGCAAATTTTCATATCTCATCCCATCCCATCTCATCCCATCCCATCCCATCAAGCCATTTATCACACGCATCCCATACCCATATACCTTACCACTCCACCACACGCGACACAGAACCCAGTTCCTACTTCCACTTCCAGCCTCCTTTGAATATCTACTTTCGTTTCGTGCTCGTGTAATCGTGCGTGCGTGCCTTTCATACCTTGTGCTTGGTGCGTTCCCAACGCGAGGTGCAAGATTTTCCTACGCGCTGATTGACTGAAAATACTTTTGGCAGAGGGTTATGTATGGAGGATAGTTTATGTTATATATTATGTCAGATTATATATACGAGTATACACCGTACTAGACAGGTTAATGAATGTGTTTCCGAGATTTGAATCAGAGCAAGGTACTTGATGCAAATGGGGGTAGACAAGATATGTAAGGACACCTCTCTTTCTCATGACTGCAGATTTCTCATGTACTTAATTACTACCTACATACATGTCACTTGATACATGCATTTGAATCATTCGGATGGAGACCGCTGCGTAGGCTATGAATTGAGACAATTCAAAGATTGAGTTGAGTTGAAGTCGGTGTGAGCTTTTATTTTGGGCGGAGGATCATATGAATGGATAGCGGGAATTCCCAAGCTGCATATCAACTCGGGGTTTTGACAAGTTGATGTGTCTGGGATTGAATACATTTGTCATAGATATGAGTAGATTTGGTCAAATGAGACCGTACTAGGTAGGAATGAATCTATTCATATCATTCTCATAATTATTTGTCTATAGCAGCTTCATTCATAATTCCTTATCGTAAATTGTAGCCTTGCATTGACACATCTAAAAGCCTTGCGATAAGGTACGGCAAACGAGGAAAAGCACAAACGCAACTTCGAAGCCTCGTCGGAGATGTTGTAAAGAAAATTCCGACGCCAAAGAAATTTATCAAAATCAAATCGCAAAAAATCTTATCGTAAGAAGCTTGCGAGATTTGTACAATAACTTTTTTTTTTATCAACTCCAAGAAAGATTTGACATTTGCGCTTTCTGTCATTTCTTATAATCAAGAAACTGCCAATTGAAAAAGAATCTATTATACCACCTCAAAGTTCTTAATAATGGCACCTAAATCTACTACCTTGACCACAAAGGTCGAGAGTGGTTCTCCATATCAACTTAATCATGATCAGGTACATTTTGAATTTTCACTCCCAATCCAATTGACATATACTCACAAATTATGATAGGTATTGAAAGCATCCACTGCGCTCCTCAAACACATCTCTACCAGCGAGGCCGAAAAAGCCAAAAAGGGAGGGGCTCAGAATCTCCTCGCTGAAAACGACGACGACGACGCAGAATCCACACCCATCTGGCTCACTCTCACTACCAAGAAACACATCAGCGACAAGACCAAGCTCAAGCCCGCCAAAGTAACCGTCCCCCACTCCCTCAATACCTCGACCACCACAACCATCTGTCTCATCGTCGCCGATCCCCAACGCACCTACAAAGATATCGTTGCATCTGCCGCCTTCCCCGCCGAACTCTCCAAGCGCATCACCAAAGTCGTCGGCGTCGACAAACTCAAGAAGAAATACAAGCAATACGAAGCCCAGCGTAAACTCTTCGCCGAGCACGACATCTTCCTCGCCGATGATCGAGTCATCACGCTCTTGCCCAAATTGCTCGGAAAGTCCTTCTACAAATCTACCACTAAACGACCCATCCCCGTAGCCATCCAAGCCGAACGTCCTAAAACCGACGGCAAGAGAATCGCACGCGCAAAGGGCGAAGATGCACCTAAGTCCGCTGAACCTAAGAAGATTGCTGCGGAGATTGAAAAGGCTATTTCGAGCGCATTGGTTACATTGAGCAGCTCGACGAACTCGGCTATCCGTATCGGGTATGCGAGCTGGGATGCGGCGAAGCTGGCGGAGAACTTGGAGGTCGTGGTCGATACTGTGATTGAGAAGTATGTTCCTAAGAAATGGAGAGGCGTGCGTGCAATCCACGTCAAGGGTCCAGAGACCATGGCGCTCCCCATCTGGTTGGCGGATGAGTTGTGGGTAGACGAGGAAGATGTTTTGGATGAGAGCGTGGTGAGGGAGATTGAAGAGAGGGTTTCGGAGAAGAAGAACAAGAAGAGGAAGACTAGGGGTATGGACGCAAGCGAGATTGAAGGAGGCGAGGAGAAGAAACAAAAATTGTTGGAGAGCAACGATGACAAGTTAGATCAAGAGATCGCGCTACGAAAGGAAATGTTGAAGAAGCAGAAGGAGGATGCGGCGAAGGAATTGGATGCCGTTCCCGTCGTGGTGAAGAAGACTAAGAAGACCAAAAAGGTTGCTGCTTAGCTTCACTTCACTTCAGTTCCGTTCTGTTCTGTTCAGGTCAAAAATTCAACTTCTCGTTTCTCGTTTCAGGCTCGAGAACGGAGGAAAAGAAAATGGGTTTATCTTATAAGAAGGCGTTGGAGGCGCAAATGTATGTTTGTTAGTAGATTAGACTTATCGTAATGAAAGTAAATCTTGTAATGGATTGCATACCTACCTAGGTACTGGGGATTTGATGACATTTTCTGAATGGCTGTGAGGTTTCAAGTAATGTGATCGCTAGGCTAGGGGAGAAGAGAAAATGTATATATAATAATGCTTGCTTGCTGCACGCGAGCGAGGTGTCGACACGATCGATAGAGAGACGAGAGAAATAAAATTGTACACTAAGCCAGGGCAAACTACGCAGTAAAGACATGTCGTAAAATATCTAAACTTTGAGATTTTCTGCTCGTCAAATCGAATTTCAATCGAATTTCACACGATGCAAACTTCCACATATGATAAAAGCTTGGAAGCATATTTATCAATTCTGTGCATACCAAATCATTATCCTTCAAAGGACTCAATCTGCCAATCTCAATTTAGTCCGTGAGAACAAACGCCCGCATCCCATAGCCTACGCCCGGTATCTAAAACTACAAATGCTATCATTCCACTCCATAATCAACATGTTTGCAAATTCTCCCAAAATAACAAATCAATCCCATCTAGCCCAGATGGCCGTAGCCGAGCCCCTTTACAATTCCTCTTCATGTCCGGTCATCTCGGTCTGCTTCTCCCCGAATTTTTTTTCTGCGGGACCAAAGTACTCTTTAAAGGCCTTTGCTAACATCTCCTCTCCTAATGTCATATGACCCCCTGGAATGGTTTCGAAAACTAATTTCCCGGCTTCATCTAATGTCTTTAAACCGACCCAATCTTCTTTATAGATAGCTCTTTCTTTCAGTGGTGTAACTTCCGTGCCGTTGACTTCAGCCCACCATCCACTCTCTTTAGGAATGACGGTTGTATCGTCTTCAAAGACGTACATGACGAATCGTTCCAATTTTTCCATGTTTGATTTATATGTTTCATTCTTGAGAACACGCTCATTATTGATATCGGCGAGGAAATTAGAATATTCGAGGTAGGAGTCGAGATTTTCGGGATCTCTGAAGTATTGGGCGGGTATGAGACGAGATTGGACAAATGTTGACCAGGTGTTCGAACGTAAGAGGGTTTGAGCACCCCGACAGAGGAAATCGGTAGGACCACAGGCTTGGAAGGCAGAAATGCCGTTATGTTGGGAACCGAAGGTTAGGAGAGAGCGGATGGGCGGAGAATTGCAGCGGGATATGTAGCCGCGCAAGAATTGGCCTCCTTGGGAGAATCCGATTGCGTCGACGGCGGGCGCGGTAGAGAGAATAGGATGGGAGGCGAGGTCTTCGCAGACTTTTTCGATTTGAACTTGGGAAGAGAGTTAGCATCGTATTTCTAGGAGAACTAAAAGGTGTATTTACGAGTGAGATTTCCAAAGAAAGTAGCCGTCCTATCTGCAGATGCATCATCATCTACATGAATATTATAGACAAAAGTTCCAGGATGAATAGCTTCAGCTAGTTCTCCAACTTGCGCAAGACCATCCGCTTTGTAGTTATCACCGAGTCCATGCCAGATGATCAAGGGTAGTGGAGTATCATCGTCATCGCTGGATGATTTTGTGCTTTGGCGAGTCTTTCCGGATAAGGTGAGGTTGAAAATACTCGGAAGGGGACTATTTTTATCGTAGACAGAGGCATGTTCATCATGCGCGACGGGAAATTCAAGGATACTTTCAGGCAAAACGATAGCGTTGATGAGTGATGCGCTGCCGAGCAATGAGATGATTTTGGTAATGGGCGCCATGTTGAAGAGCTTTGGTGGCGGGTATAAAGGTTGGAGCTCTGAAGATAATGGTTTTGATACTAATTAGTGTAACAATTTACCTGAAGTTGTAAACTATTTGGATGTTGTGGGCCAAAGTGATGGAATGATATATATAGCAGGTAGAATCTGCTTGTTCAGCTGAGGAAGATGACCTTATTGATGTTCCAGCTGAAGTTGGGGGCTTAGTACTTGAGACCTTGATGGGCCATCCCCACAAAGCCGCTTTATAGTAGAGACCTTGAGATACAATTTTACCGATATTCTGCCGTACAGAGGAAGATAGTAAATCCGTCTTATATTTATCACTTCTATCAGTACGCAAGTTGATTGAATTATTTCGCATCAAAGTCTCGCATCGTATATTCCTTCCGATCAAACCAAAGAACGAGCTGGGGATCTTGGATTATTGAAGGAACCGCATCTTAGTGGCGATCAACGAGAACTGCACCGAAAGAAAATTTACCATCAAAATCGATTTGCGACGGAGAGCTGAATATAGAAGTTCGACTACGAAAGCATTGATTGAAGCGCGTTACTACTTGCAGTGCGAAAGGTTCAGATTATCGCGAGTTTGAGTTCGCCCGAGTTCTACGCAGTCAAACTCGGAGAGCTGGAAAGCTATAACTGCAACCGTTTGTCATTTCTTGCACAAACTTTGAGACAAGTCTGTACCAGAGACTGACGGGAAACCGAACGTAGATGCGAGGGGCTCCTTGGTCGACTTCTTCGCAGAAAACCTCAACTATTGTTCCACATATCACTTCATCAATTTCCAATTCTCTTGCAATGGCACCCGCACCAATGGCGCCTGGTCCAGAACCTACCCAGGTCAACCCTACAGGCCCTCACCCATCGTTCATTCAAGTCGCCAAACCATATATGTTCCAGCAACATGTCAATACCAAACTCATGACCATTGGGGCAAATCCTACGCGTGAAGATCAGTTTAGGTTACAGGGGGTGACTTGGATTAATGACGTTAGAGTTGCTTTACAGTTGTCAGTATTACCCTCACTTGCGCAAACACAAATCATTAACTTCTACAAGACCAGTGCGAACTTTTTGTACTGCTGCCACTTATTTCCATCGATTTCGGCTTGTTCACAAAGATACTGAATATCAATACCAAGATGCAGCCGCTGCTGCACTTTTAACGGCTTGCAAGATTGAAGATACCCTTAAGAAGTCCAAGGATATTATTTGCGCCGCACACAACTTAAAACATTCAGCTGCAGAGCACTTAAGCTCCGACGATACTGTATGTTTCACCACATTCTGATTATAGATGGCTACTAATGGAAGTAGATCTTTGAGGCTCCTTCTAAGGTTGTCATTGGCCTTGAACGTCTTATGCTCGAAGCATCTAGCTTCGACTTTCGTGTTCGTTACCCACAAAAACACCTCATTAAACTTGTCAAGAACGGTGGAATTCAACGTGATGTTGCAGAAGTCGCCTATCAAGTCATGTTAGATCTCTACCGAACATTTGCTCCCCTCAAGCAAACCTGTTCTACCATGTCCTTTGCTTGTGTTGAACTAGCGACATTAATTTGTGAGAAGCAGAAGGGTTGGAGAGGCCCAAGCTATAAAAAGTGGTGGACTAGTCGATCGGAAATTGTGGAAACGATGTTAGATTTGTTAGATCTTTACACACATTATCAGAAGCAGTCGATCGTTGGTCCTTTGCACAACATCGAGAAATTTATTGGTATCCGGATTAAGATCAATCAAGAGTTGGAAGAGAAGAGATTACCAAGACATACCGAACATCACGAAGCACCACGAAACAATGGCGTGCGACATGCACCCAATACTCCTGTTACACCAGCCAGCCCAGCAGACTTACGATTTAATGGTCATGTTGCATCACCGGCAAATCTGAGCCCCAAATCGGTAAGTTCAGGTTCGAAACCGCCCACGGGTATTCGTGGTCAAAGTGGCACGGTACGTTATATGTTGGATGTGGTTAAAGCCAAGAATGAGAGAGATACAGTCGATACATACTTTCGGGATGAATATGAGGGTTATGAAGTGGAAGTGGAAGAGACGCTGCCGGTGGAGCCAATACCTACCCATCATACCCCGAGAGAACCGCATCATGGACGACATCATGGGGGGCATGGACACGGACATGGCCATGGACATGGACGAGATTATCGACACTTTAACAAACGGATGCGAAGATGATGAAAATGATCAAATAGAATCATTACTCGAAAGTATAATATGGCGTTCGGTTACAGGGGGACATCTTCAAAAGATCAATGCATAATAGGAGTGTTAGGGATGCTTCATGGGAGGTTTTGGGAGTTTTCGGGAGCGAAAGGGAAGATACCAACGTATTTTAAGTAGTAGGTAGATGTATATATGTCTAAATGTACAATAAGGGATCAATGCATGTAGAATTCTAGTACAACTTCAATGAATGCTTGATAATGAAACATATTATTTATCATGCGAAATAGTTAAAGATATAGATAAGTTATTGGTATTGATTGTTATTGTAATTGTAATTTTTATTGTTATCATGGAAATTGAATTCAACAAGATGATTGGATTAAATAATAACTTTACGTTGATTCGTTATGAGTGCTTATTAGGTGGCACGCGAGCCGTGTTCTAAGTGAAGGGAAGAGAAGGAAGGAAAGGTATGTCATGGTAGGTAGGTATTAATAGCATGTGAAGATCAATTTTGGAGCCAAACCAAAAAACCATCGGGGCCCAAGGCAAGGGTTGAAGGGTTGAAGGGTTGAAGGGTTGAAGGGTTGAAAAGGGTGGATTATGACGATTTCTTGCGCAAGCCAAGTTTCAAATGGTTGCAATTGATAGACCAAGCTATTTTGTGAAGATTTCTTGTATGGAGGTATGGAGTCTAGATGATGATTGAGCATATGTAGGTAGGTAGGTAGGTAGGTAGGTAGGTAGGTAGGTTTGTACGGTTGTAGGTATGATATCTATGGTATGTATGATATCTATGGTATGTATGATGGAAAGTTGGAATCAAGGAAAGGAATTGGACATATGAGAACTATCTGTATCCACCAATAATCTACAAGAGATACACAGAATGGAGTACCGGTAGTTGTTTGTTTTTGAGCAAATGTAAATATAAGTAACTATATAAATGATATTTATTGTATATGTAAATCATTCCTAATTTCTATATTCACAATCGCTACTCAAATTATTGAGTGAGTAATAAATACTAGAGAATGAATGAAGGAACAAAAGTGACGCACTACAGGGATTTTTAACTAGTTCAGCCATATTCCAGTAGCTTCTTCCCATCAACCAAGAAACCTGTTGACACAATTACAACTACAACTAAACTAAAACGACATTAAAAACTACCAATCTTTCCTCACAACCATCAACAACTTTACATCACAATTATAATCACAATCACCATCACCATTACACACATCAATCCACACATTACAAATCACCTTCCATCAACGTGATAAAAGTGTAATACACTTGATTCCTTCAAGGAGAAAACTTACATCAACACCCTCAAGATGGCTCCCCCACCTTCTGCCTCTCTTCCACTTCAGCAAAGGCTCATACAGCTCGCGCAAACATTACAGTGTAAGTGGAAGCTTGTCTCAAAATATGCATAAAGATATATACTGACTATGACATTGTTACAGTTGCTTGGTTCGTAGGGTATGTCGAACTTCCCATTGTTTCTTCCCCGCGTCAAAGAGAGCTGTCAGCTCTTTGGAGCTTGGATAATATGTGGTCTTTTCTCGCAGTTTTCCAAACAGCTTCATAAACAAAAGCTCAAGATTCTATCTGCGCAACATGATGGCATACGATTCTGTGATATATACTAACTCTTCATAATAGACATCTCTCCCTCCTTTTCTGCATCATCAGATATGGTCTTTCATACATAACCTTCAACTACTACTCGAGATGGGCTACCTTTTCTTATCGTACTGCCTTTATCTCCGCCGCTGTTACCTACGGCATCGTGGTTTACAAGGCATTCCGTGCTCGCGCCAGAGCTGGAAAAGCAAATCAAGCTGGTTTGATCTCTCTTATCGCTGATGAGAATGTTCAATACTTGGGTATGTGGTTTTCTCCTCAGATTGATGATTAAAATCTAACAAATGATAGCTATGGCACTCGTCTGGCTCTTCTCCAAGCAATACCCTCTTGCCATGCTCCCATTCGGTGTTTACTCTGTCTTCCACGTTGCAACTTACACCCGTACCAACCTCATCCCAACTCTCCAACCAGCTCCAGCCGGTACCGACCCCAAGGCTGCTCCAAAGCCAAACGCTATGGCCGATACCATTGGCAAGTTCGTCAAGGAATACTATGACACATCCATGGGACTTGTCGCTCTTCTTGAAATCATTCTCTGGGCTCGTATCTTCCTCTCCGCTATTGCATTCCAATCTGGTTCCTGGATTTTGATTGTTATCTACACTGCATTCCTTCGCTCAAGATTCGCACAAAGTGCATTTGTTCAAGGTCAATTCAGACAAGTAGAGGCAAGAATCGATAGCCTTGTTGGTGCTCAATCTACTCCTCCAGCAGCAAGACAAGTTTGGGAAGCTGTTAAGGGTGGTGCTAGAACTTTCCACGATGCTACCGACGTCGGGAAGTATGTTGCCGGTGCTCAAGCTCAAAAGAAGACTTCATAAATGAAAATTGCCGATCCAAATACAAGATAAGGTCACCAGTCGAGAGATCTCTGGAAGTGTAGGTGAAGCACGAAAGGAATAATCTTTGGACTGGGAAGGATATTACAAATATGAATACTCAAAAGCGAGTGTTGTCAGCAATTCAATGATGAATCAAATGGGTCAGGGAACTTCATACATCCGGGTTGTTTATACATCATGATTAGTTGTCTAGGGTCTCTTATTGCGGATAGTAGGAAAAGCTTGAAAAATTGAGGAGTGAGCAGTGAGGATGGATGATGTATGCGTACTTGGTATCCGGGCTGCTTCCCTTCTTTTTGTTTTTACTGCAGCGAGGGAGTTATTTTTGTGCACTTGTTTTATGTGGCGTGTATTCAAAGTCTAATAATAAAGATTTCATGAAATTCATATAGTGTGTCATCTGTGCGTGAGTTATGATATGAGGTGAAGAGGGGCTAGGTTCAGGATTGGAAGGTGTTTGTGTATAGTGAATAAGGGTACTAACCAAGAGATTAGCAGGTAGGTAATCGTATCAAACAAAGATATACATAATCGGGGAACTGGGCTTTTTGAATAAAAATCTATGGATCTATTGTGTTCCGGATGTGGCACTTTTGAAAGAGGGAGCAGGATGGATTTCTATGATACTTAATCTTGCGGGAATTTTGTTTCTTTAAGCTTATCTATCTCGGTGTTGAATTTTCCCTATAGGGAATGAATGGGTAGGATTTATTTGATGGATTAGGTAATGGTGTGTTCTCTGAGCTGGGAAGGGGTGGAGAGGAAGGAGAGGAAGGAGGGGAGGGGGGGGGAGGGGGGGGAAGGAGACGTTGTTTCGTAGGTGATTGAGGAATTTCAAAGGATGCGGTGGGATGGCTTCGAGAGTGGCGTGTGATTGATGGGGAGAGGGGAGGGAGAGGGGAGGGATGATGGGTAGGTAGGTAGGTAACTTTGATTGTATTTATATTTGGGGTGGGGAGGGAGCAGGAGCAGGAGCATAAGGAGGAGAATTTGAATATAGACGGAGATGAAAATGAGGATATAGATGTACATGTAAATGCATTGTCTATGGGTCCTCTGGAATCTTGCATGAGTAAAATGGGTTGGGGTTTCCAAGTGAGGGCATGGGACGAAGTGGGACAGAACAGGCACAGAAAAATCACTTTTTGGAAGCTAGCATTTTAATCCTACCCGCGCTCTGGGTTCGTAAGATCCATATGATAGATACCTACCTAGGTATAGGTATGGTTTTCTTGGCTGAACGACTTCGCTAGTGGCTGAGGCTCCGTAAGGTAGTAATCGAATCTTGCAGACTTGATAGCTCAGATCGTTGTATTTAAACGTGGAACTGAACTATTAAGTCATAGAACTTGCTATGTTGGAAAGACTTCGACTTGATAAGAGTGTGCCATTGGTATACTCTACATACTCTTCACAATCTAGGTATATATCTGTGTATACTGGTTGAGATTATCGCATAATCATGTGACGGTAGTTACACTGTCTAAGGTGTGTCAGGTCAAGCTCTCCCCGCAATTCGATTCAGGCGCAATGTGTCATCAACTCTTCTATTGTTTTCCGGGCATTTATATATGTCGAGAAAGACACAATAGTTAAACTTCTTTGATACTTTCTTAGTCTTTCCGTCTAACAGTATGCCTATCGATCAATCGTCTCCGATACAGAGAGCTGTTGCTGAGCTTTCATCTAGCACACGCTATAATGATAACGATCATGACACAAGCCTGAAATCTCTCTGCGAATCATGTCGGGGGATAGATTGGTCAAATATTACAGAACCGAAAAAGTTCAAGGGGACAGAATCTTCGATGGTTTGCCCGAATGGACGCAACACAAAACTCGTCCGAACATTCGAGGGAAATTCCCGAAGCCAACTGCTCAACTCAAGTTGTCGCGTCTGTCGCCTGGTTGGGAGTCTTGTCAATCCAAACTCTGGTATCCGAACCCCTGATCAGTCTCTAGAATTAAGTGACCAATCGCAGAATGTATGTTTAGAAGCTTGCGAGGATATGATTGAAACATGGGGGTCCGAAGAGCGAGATCCGTGTGTGAAACTGGCGGTTCGATCTACTGCAACTGGTTCAAAGAGGATAGATAGCTACGAAGACCACCCTCGCTTCATCATAGCACACAAATCCAGGAACAATGGGATCGCTGTTATTCGCATCATAGAACCCTTAAGAGTCAAATTCGATTTTGTTAGACAATTGTTGGACGGATGCCTTAAGGATCATGAACAGTGCCAGTCTCCGAAGGTAGAAGTTGCAAAACTGCGTGTCATCGAGGTCACCACGAAAAAGATTTGCCAGGCTCCACCATATTGTGAATACACCGCTCTCTCTTATGTTTGGTGTGGCAACTCTGCTTGCGAGAGTACTCAAGGGGAGTTCCCAGCAGTCGTACAAGATGCCTTCACAGTCACTGAGGCCTTAAGCTACCATTATCTCTGGGTTGATTGATATGTGAGTCACTACAGCTATGGAATGATATAATCAATGCACGAGAGTGAACAACAGAACTAATAGAATATTCACCATAGTGCATCGACCAAAAGCCAGACTCCCCTCACATGCAGTCTATGATCGACCAGGTGGATCTCGTCTATAGCAACGCCCACGCCACTATGATCGCAGCTTCCGGTAGCAGTGCTAGTGATGGGTTACCAGGGATCAGTATCCCACGCTATCAATCCTACGCAGTCGTTGGGCCGCTACTGTCCAAAATTGTTCCAACATTTCTTGTAAGGCCCGGTATATTTCTTGGTATCCCGGTACAATTTAGAGTTGCACAGATTAGGCCTGGTACTACCCAGCGGTGGGCAGTTCCACAAAGAACCAGATGTCTATAACATCGTCGTTCTCCACCATGTAGCTGATGGGACGTACGAGCGGGCGGGGCTTGTTACTCTGCGATATAATGTTGACACGGGAGATATCGCGGCTTGCAGACCACACGTATGGAGGGGCATTTCATTGGATGAAAATGGTGATCCGATTTCAGAACAGAGCCGTAGATATATGAACCGAAGGAATGAGGAATCAAACAAGTATTCATTTCTTCAAGACGCTGATTGAAAACTATTTGCTTAGTTTAGATTTAGTCTGAATACAAGCCCATATACCGGGGCTAATCTAATTTGGCGATGATTCAATTCCTTATTAATTTCGAGATCGATATGATGATTATCAATCAAGATCTACAGATTAGCACGAAAGAAAGATTCAGAAGTGCCAGGAACTATCCTTAACTCAACTCTATACCCCTAACAGATCTCACTACTCTTAGCTTCATATCAGCTTCAAAACCTATTTTGAGAGTAAAGCATACATGTATGATATAGAAAGATTGTAGATCATACAAACTTTAATACAAGTACAATGAAACTTATCTCTTTCAAGTATTTGACCGACTTCAGATTTTATAACATCCATGATCTGTAATGTGCAGTACTGTTTTCTTACTAATGAAAATAGGAGCTCACTAGTTTCCCTGTTGGCTTCCCATTCTCTACAGCTTCAGGATCATATACTTTCGTAAATCAAATTGCTAGTCACGATATCATCTTGTTTTATGTCTTTAGCTCTTGCTGTCTTTTCAACTTTAGTATTTATATACTAACTTTATTTATACACATATACACATATATAACCCCGAAAATTTTGATTCTACATAAAACTCATCAATGGAAAAAGAAAAAATTATAATCCACGCTAAGTAGTTTGAGAAGATCTTCTTCTTGAGGTTCAATAAGTGAGTCTATGTTTGTGAATCATAATATTCGACTTTATGAAGTTGTTAGAGAGGAAAATACTCTGAGTTTGAGGAGTTTGGGAGTTTAGAGGTGATGTCATGAAGTTTTGTTTTTATTTACCGAAATCATGAATTCACACGATGGGTTTTCGCTAAGGGTCATTTTTCTTTGAAAATATGTGTCGGTTGTGTACCAGATTGATTCATAAGCTATGGATAGTGTAACTTGTGTCTGATATCTAACATACCTTACAATTCGACTTCGATTTCTGTGTTGAAGTGTGATGTGATGTTAGTTATGGAGATGAAGTATAAGATGGATGTATATGAAGAATTGATTATGTTGATTAGTGCGAAGAAAATAGGTTTGATAGGTTAAATAGGTATGAATAGATATGAATAGATGGTTATCGAGCCAAAAGACTTCAAAACGTTAAAACTGAACTATCGAGACTATAAGAGTTTGATTATATGTAGAGTGGTCTATTTAATTTATTGAAATGAAAAAATTAGAGATCTCAAGCGAGTAGTCAATACCAGAAGTAGATTAACCGAGTAGTCTTGAAGAGTCTGATACACAGAATAATATAAAATCAGTACACGTAATCATTGCCCTAAAACTAATTCATAGAAGAGAAGTATAACTAACGACTTGAAGAATATTAGGCAATAAAGTTGAATTTATCAATAGCTTAAAAACAAGTTTTTTAGCTAGTAGTAATGAGAAAAAATTGTGAATATGTGAATTCAGATTACTAGCAAAGGAAATAAATAGCAGGTCGAACACCATATGAGAAACAGACTGCATTTCATCACAGCTTTAAAGATTTCAATAATTACAATACAGACACAATGAATCAAACAAAACGAAAAATAACAACATACAACAAAAGCACCTCCCTCCTTCAAAAACTAAAACGAACACAAGCTCAGAAACACAAAAAACGATAATCAAACATCTCTCCCCACCCTCGAGAAAGGAAACTAACATGATAAACAACATGAGAAAATATTACTTTCTGTTCACTTCAGTTCTCCAATCCCAATTCGAGCAGTGAATAGCCCGGTTTTGTAAAGTGAATTTTCGAAAATTCATCTCCATTTACTGATCCTCCAAAGCGGGGTAATTGAGCGCGGGGTTTATGGATTGATCTTCTTCTTCTTCTTCTTCTTCTTCTTCTCTTACCGTTTCTTTTCTTCCTCCTTCTTCTTCTTCCTTCTGCAACCTCATCCTTCGATCCATTCCCAACCTTCGAACCTCAAACCCTCTCCCACCCACCAAAATGGTCCTCTCCAAACTAATCGAAGAAAACCCTCCCGAGTTCCTCTCCGACCTCCTCCGCGGCAACATGGTCTCAATCAGCTACAACAAAAACCACACCCCAATCACCACGCAGTGGCCCATCACCATCCTAAAAGCCATCTCCACGCGCTTTAAAGCCCTCGACAAACACGCCCCCAACCAATCCATCAGCATCCTCGATTGTCTCGGCGAGCCACAGACGAAGTTCGAGACCAAGATGTTCCGCTGCACTGTAGGCGATCTCATGGATCATTTTGGAAAGTGGCTGTATACTGGAAATATCGATATTGCGGGATGGATGGTGTGGGATTTGTGGATGTTTGGAGAAGCGTTCGGGGCGCCGAGATATCAGAATGATGTTATGAGAGCGCTGTGTGCGAAGGCGTCGGAGAATAATCCTTCGTTGATTATTATCAAGTATTTGGGGTTTGATGCGGCGACGTTGAAGAGATGTTGGGATCAAACGAATTTTGAGCTTGATAGGGCTCGTGGGTGCGCGGTGGAAAATGGAACGGTGTATTGGGGGAATAAACAGATGTTGAAGTTTGTCATGGATGTGATCGTGTTTGTGGGGTTTAAGGATTCGAATTTTAGGAGACTTATTAATAGTGGTGGCTATATTGCTGAGCAAATCCACAAATTATCAGTCGAAGTTGCGCGTGGCAAGACTTCGATGGCGGCTCCGTGGAAGTCTAGAAATCTCAAAAAGTACCTCGTGAATGAAGCTGTTCTTGTAGAAGATTCTAGCTCGGATGAAGAGAATGGGGGTAGTTCGGAAGAGGATACGAAGGATATCGAGGAAGATACAGAGAGTACTGCATATGAGGATGGTGATGATGATAAAGATGAAGATGTGGAGGATAACAAAGAGGATGATGACGAAGACGAAGACGAAGACGAAGAGATGAAGGATGACGTTAAGGAAGAAGAGAAAGAAGAGTGAGTTGGAGCGCGCGGAACGGACCAAAGATTCGACAGGCTAACGAATTAAAAGAAGGCCCTTTATCGCAGAAGAACTCCTCGCAGAAGGTCATCGCCTTGCACAGCCAAGACACGTATAAATGTCCTTAAAAGACCCAAATTCGCAAAAGCCTTGATCACGACTTCGATACCACCAAGCACCGGTGGAACGGTGTGCTGAATCGTGCACTCAACTTGGAATAGTCCTTATATTAAGATTCTCGCGTTCTACGAAATGCAAAGGAAGAAAACATCCGCAAAATATCAGTATCATTACAATCTCGCTTCCAACATTCGCTTGAAAGTGTATATTGTGGATCTGCATCATTACTTAATGTTGCGCATATTTGGGTTACAATGCGACACCAGAAAGAAATCATCCATATCATTCAAAATACGAATCTCTATGCATGGTTCCAACGATTCTACTCGCTCCAGAGATCAAAAAAAGTAGTAGGGCAGGTCAATATAGTATGCAAGGTACTGCATACACCTCATATGGTTAAAAAAACATTTCTACTCAATCATGCGCTCTCGTGGGATGTCGAATCCTAAAATGAAATGCAATAAAAACATGTGATAAAAATACATAGTGATATTGCTTGATTATTGAATGCGCCAATTGCAATGATGCATAGTGTGCACCTTAAGAATACAAAACTACTCCCCTGGCACCATCGATAGAACTTTCTATCGTGCTCGGTAATGCTTTTATGATACTATTCTCCTCTACCACCGCCCAATCATCACCGTACATCCTGACATAAACCCCAACTAGATCGTCCGCCTAATTCTTGGGTTTTGGTGGAGTATAACTTTGCTCCAACGTCTTTCCATCCGCCATGACGATCTTTTCGCCGCCAGCCATAACAAACAGGCATCCTATCCCACAATCAGTGTCGTTATCCTAAGCATTATAAGCAAAATTAAACTTACGACACCATTCATCAGTTCTGTTTTCCCAAGTATGCATTGTGCCTCTCTGGACACAAATATCTCCTTCCTTCAAAATGGTTTCCTTTCCCTCATCAACACGTAGAACAAGTTCGCCTTTCAGGACAATCATGTAGTCACAGGTGATAGTTCGGTGAGTGGGGGTAACACAATGGGGCGGATAATCAGTTGTGCAAACTACCAGACCAGCCGGAGGTGGTTGAGGGATAGATTGTTCGGCATCGGGGTTGATAGGGGCATTTAAAGAGGCGGGGAGAGAGGGGAGAGAGTGAATGGTCGTAAAACCTGGGGCCGAAGGACCAAAAGGACTGAATAGGGGAAGTTGAGAATCCGAGGAAATAATGGCGGTGCCGGAGGCAGAGTGCGAGGTTACTACGGCGCGGGGTGGTGGAATAGTAGACATTATTGCTGCTGAAGTAGATTTGGAGGAAATGGTAGTGCTAGGTTGAGTTTGGGTTTCAGGGACAGCTTTATTATTGCTATTGGACAGATCTGAGGACGTTCTTGAATGGTTTGGAAATTTATCGTCTTGATAAGCTTTTCTTGTGTTGAAGCTTGGTATGTGAAAATAGGAACATGTAAGCTGATGATAAAAAAAGCCAAGGAAATGGTATTCTACTTATACAAAATGTGAAGCTATTCACGAAACATACGAAAACTCTTGCTGTGTATACTGTCACTACATAATTTTGCTACCTTGTAACAATTCTCCGAATTTACGTCAATGATTATTAAGAAGAGTTCATCAGCTGAAAGCCGAAAGAGCGAAGGTAGTCCTAAAGATGATGTGCCACAGCTGTACGTGAGATACAAGAAGGACGATGAGAATATTTGGCCCCCACCTGAATCCCATTTACGAAGTGCTTACCTAGGTATACGCATGTGAGATCTTACGATCAAACCAAGTATGCTGAGGCGAATTGATGATTGATAGCGTAAGAGCGAAAGGCCGAGCTGCGAGATCCTTCAAGAAGGATTCAAGCTGCATAACTACGCCTCTTTCGCGATTTGAAGTTCTGGAGTCCCATACAGCATTGAAGTATTGTATCAACGCAGACGTGGATTATATGATTGAGATAATGCAAGATTTCTGATGTTTCGACGACAAAGTTGAGTATATTGTCGTAATTCCAGGAAGATTAGAAGATTTGACGGCGATGAATCCTCGTTGTTGCTTTCCTGCTACACCCCTATTACCTTTCATGTTATAGCTGCCCAGATATTTTCGCACATGAATAGCAGGAAAAAACGAAAAAAAAAACGCCCAAACTCAACATGCGACTTCTTCAACTTTATTTCTATTTCTTACACGTATGAATTATCGCATTAGCACCATTCAATTCGATTTTGAGATTTCGATTCGACCTTGATTCGATATGTTGCTGCATTCCGTTTCGATGGCATCTGAATTTGCGACGCAATTTACCTTTACTCAAGGAGTTGGGCGCCGAAGTCTACGGGCGCCTTGTAATTCCAAAACTGCAACTACACACGAGAAAGAATGGCATTGAGGGTTTATACGTCGTACTTGACGATGCATTCTTGAGTGAGATGCAGTCTGTGAGAGTGTATGGCGTAGAAATGGAAGAACTTTTGGTACTGAGATCGGGATGAAAATATGACGACGAAATCATTCGCATCTTCTTCCAGTATTACATCAGATAGATGCTGTAGCCCTGAGCCCTCCCATGGAAAGAAAATTCAACATGTGTACGGCTGAAACAACAATCAAGAATCTCGAGGCCTTTTTCTTCTGAAAAGCTACCAGAGTACAGTGATGTGGCTACATACGGACAAGCAAATTAATTAGAGAGTAATTTCTATCAAGAAACCGTCACTCGAAGTCGCGTTGTAATCTTACATGGCGAGGGTGTTATATTAATGAGCTCGTGACGTTGGATACATAACCCAGAGAGAAGTCCGCCGAAACAAGTTGCCCGCTTGATTCATGGCTCCTGAAAATATCTGGTTTCTCCTTTACTAGATTACTGCAACCCAAACACGGGACTTGCATCTCCAAGGAATCAAGTACTTGTCAACATTACCACCTAAAACGATGGCTGCTTGGGACTTCGAAGTGCCGCAGTGGTCCGGTCGATATATTCTAACACTATCGAGTGATGGAAGAAGACTCAGGAGATTATCAAAATACAGCTATTAGCTCTGTCTGTCACCCAGTCTTGCTTCTTGAGTTGCACACGATATCTTGTTTATAGACTTGATTAACGATAGACTACACACCAAACTGGCAAAGAATGTTGCAATAACTTTATCTTATTTCAGGCCGAGAAACTTCATATACTCCTAGGGATTGGGTTTGCGTTCCACTCTTAAGCTAGGTAATTGTCGATTCCGGACGGATATCGTGAAAAGTATCTCAGCATTTGTATTTTGCAAATAGTAGGTAGCATTGCCGGCCTGGCTGCTACATACTTTGGCTCCAAGGAGTCGACACTCCCAGTTTGATTGGAAGGAAGATCGTGCGTAAGTGGAGAATTGACGTAGAAGAAGGAAGCGATTCAAAGGGGTAATTCGTCATATCGTGAAGAATGATATAATTCTATAACCTAAGCGAAGGAGGGTTGTGGTGAAGTAACCTTATCTTTCTCTAATCGATTATGAATGAAGTTCCGAAACGTACTGCTCCTAGCCTTTGACCTGTTCAAAGTAGCTAAGATTATCAAATCCATGCTTTCCTTAAATTACTATGCCTACCGGATGTTGATGTTTCTCAAAGTGGATTTATGAACGACTTTATGTAGTTAATGTAATGTTTCAATAGCTTTATCCCAGTGAGGTCTGAGAAGCTATGATGTGCGTGACAATCCCGCGCCACACACACTTGAGCTACAGCCACAATGACATCACATGTAGATCCTCAACGCATGCCAGATGAACACAAGGTCAAGTCAGAGTCCAGACTCAATGTATCGATGTCAAAACTGTTCGAGATAGAAATAGATACTTTTGCTAGTAACAAGGGGTCAATTGAAACAACACACTAAGCACATAACCTCCCATAGATATCCGCCCTCAGGAACGCGGATGAAGCCAGATATTCCGGACCGCTCCCGAACCTCTTCCCGTTCCTATTACACTGTGCAGACAAGACTTGGATTCTTGACCCGTCCATCTTTCAATCTAAACCCCTTGCAACTAATATCCACAAATCCACGTGTACATCCATCCGATGAACCTCGATCTCTCACGGTAGAGCAGGCATGGCAATTCCAAGAAATCGATTAGTCAAGCAATGCGATTGTCATGACGTATTGAGATTTCCGATCCCATGTCATGTCATGATGTTGATCCCCTCAACCGATCAATGCTTAAAGCGGGGTAGCTCCCAGAGCACCAGTTACCCTGTTTACAACAACATATGCGTTCCATGACATGACGACTTTGTTTATTTAAACTGTTTTACTACGAATCTACTGCTCAATCTCTTTTATCATCATCTAGATACTTTCTGCCTTTTTAGCTACAATTACCTACCTTTAGTCAAGAAAACAAGCTTTGTAAGTAATCCCTTCCTCCTCAAATCTCTCTCAATATATCTTACACCCCAAACTCAAAACACAATGCAATCTTCACTCCGTCTCCGTCTCCTCACCAGAGTTTCCCGTCCCCAAAACAACAAACTAATCCTCTCATCTCTTCCCAGACAATCCAAACCCCAATACCAATACTTATACCCAATTGCCAAACACAACTTCACCACCACCCACGCAAAAATGTCTTTCAGCAACGCAGATACCGGTTCCAAAGAGGCCGATCCATATAAGGCCAAGAACATTGATACTCCTACTTTGAAAGAGAAGGTTGAGGACTTAAATGAATTTATCGATGCGTGTAAATTCGGTATGATGACTACGCGAGATGGAAAGACGGGCGCGTTGGTGAGCAGATGTATGGCTGTTGCTGCAAAGGTATATGTTTTCTTCTGTTTGTCGTCTTTCACACATTTTAGAAGGGCTGGGATGTCTGTGAAGCCTACTGGGGGTGTTGCAGTATCTGAGATATCGCGAGTTCAGATCAGACATAATGATTTGCCAGCCTGAACCCCTGGACAGATACTCTTCTTTTGCACTCCGTCCCCCGTATTAGCATAGCCATCTCGAGAAACAAAAACTAACAATCCTATCTCAGGAAAATGGAGGAACTACTCTTCTCTTCCACACCAATACCGAATCTGGAAAGACCGATGATTTGGCTACCGATTCCCACATCAACATCTCATTCCTGAATTCCTCTGGCGAATGGGCTTCTGTTTCCGGTATTTTCCCCCCCTCCTCTTCCCCTCTCCCCCAAAACTCCAATCTCAACTAACACCACTCCCACCCCAGGTCTCTCCTCCATCGAAACCGACCGCGAGACCGTCAAGAAATACTACTCCCCCGCCCTCAAAGCCTGGCTCGGCGATCTCGGCGACGGAACTCACGATGGCGGTCCCAACGATCCCCGTATCGGTGTTATCAAGGTCGAGGCCAAGACAGCTACATATGCCGTTGTGCGCAAGAGTATATTGGCACGCGGAGCTGAAGTTGCACAGGGAATCATTACAGGCAAGCCTGCGAGCGTCAATAAGTTGAGGGAGATTAGCGAGAGTGAGATTCAGACTTGGAGGACTAGCCAGGGAATGGTTCAGTAGATGTGACTGGGAGATGAGTTATCTATTCCTATGGTTAGGGATGGGATGTATTACGAATAATGCTATCAATTAATTAATCAATTGCAATGCGAGAAAGCTTTTCAAATTATATTGTCTTAACATTATGTCAATGATACCTTCTGACACGCTTATGATATCCTATGCAGTGTACCAAACAATGCATCCCCAATACTCAGTACCCAAAACTAACGACCTTTGTTACACCTTTGCTACTCCAATCCGATGTATTATACGAACGCCTCCATGTCAAATATCCATAATGCTCCCGAGTCCATACGCCCGCGCCTCGAAGTAGAAGTCCTCATGATACATTTAGAACTATCGAGTGTTAGTGGAAGAATCTCATACTTCCAAACTCGTCGTCAATCCGACTTACCAATTTCAAAGGCGTCCTATTCAGACCTCTAGTAAAGTTACACATCGCTCTCTGTTTCGTTGGCCTCTGCTGTAATCTTCTAAACGCCTCTTGGATATGTCTCGTCTCGACCGGAGTTCTTCCCTCACTTGGCGGATCAAACAATCCTTGCACCTTTCTCTTCTTGCCTGTTTGTTCACCACCGCTCTTCTCCTTACCCAAGTCTTCTTGTTCCTTGATCTTCAAAGCTTCTTCCGTCAATGTCTGCACGATTTCAAAGGTCAGGAACCCGAGGATATCTACAATATCATCGTTAGGTTTAGAATCCGTGACGACGCCAAAGCCGGCCCATTCCTTGAATCGCTTTCCTTTACGGAAGGTAAACGAAGCTTGACGATATTCAGACCAGGTAACATATTCTTCTTTCGTCATGGCCTTGGTGCGTTCGTCGGCTTTCTTGAGACGCTGTAAAGTTGCGTAATTCATTTCTTCCTCGTCTTCATCTTCTTCGTCTTCGCGCTCGGGTACCTCTTGGCTGTATAACGAGGGGACTTCCCATGGGAGACCGACTTTGGCTTTCTTGTTTTTCTTCGTGGTATCTGGGATGGGGGCATTGGCTCCGACGGGTTCGTCACCGGCTCCGATATCTGCGTCGCCGCCCTTTTCGTCCGAGTCTTTGACGTTTTTACGGACGTCTTTCCAGGAAAGAAAGGTTCGGAGACGAGAGACCTTAGCTTGATCGTGGCGAATCAGGAAAATTAAATCGTCGGTGGATATTGAACGACTCCCGCGGCGGGATGCTTGTTCAGTACATTGACGAAGCTGGAAAAGTTAGGGTCATGTGATTTGATTGGAGAGGTGCAAGAATTCCGAGAGAGGAGAGGAGTAATAAGCCTAGAGAGTTCTACTAACCATTTCAATAACTTGTTGTCGAACGATCTCCTCTATCATACCAGTAGTCTCAGATGATGCTTCTGCTGTTTCCCCAGAAACATACATCATCTGTGCAAACCAACGAAGAACCCTGACGTTAGCCATTTTCGAAGCCATATTATTGATAATTTGCTTTCGACACAGCTATTTACAAAAATCAAGATATTCCATCCACCAAAAGAGCCTACAGGCAGAAACCTCGCAAAATCTTATTCACTATGACTGAGAAGCGAACACCTCACCGCCAGCAATCACTTGATATAGCCTCACAATCACCCTTCCGAATCCAAACCCATTGCCAATTCCCAAGGCATTGCCAATAAAGAAATCGAACATGACTGTTCAAACAAAGGAGCAACTGACCTGCTGGATCTCCGTCTTGTACTTTGCCGTTTTGTCCGTCATTTTGGCAACCTTTCACTACTACCCAAATGCAATCCTTCTCTTTCTGACACCTCTATCCACACAGAGGGAATTCACCAAATATCCAATGATCTGTCAAAATAATGATAGAATTGATTCAGACTTCAAGTTGATAATTCTGTACATAAACCAGATAGTGAATGATGAAAGACTAAAACCAGTTCGGAGTGATTGGAATGTTGGAGTTAATGATTATGACTAAGAAATTCTAGGCGGTCAATTGTGTTTTGCTGGGCAGAAAGAATGCACGTGATTCACAGTATCCTTGCATCGGACAGTCAGTACCCCCACTCCGGGGTAGTGGGGTCTTGCTGCAAAGAAAAAGTTAAAAATTGTTTATTGGAGAGACTTTCCTCTCTCACATGCACACAATCCTTTTTTATATGGTAATACCATTTCAAACTACAAATTCCCAAGATTATCCTTGTCTATCAGACACTCAAAGGATGGACACTCATATTGCTATACAAAGTCCAATGGTCACATAAAACAATGATATCAATATTAGATCGAGTGGCATATGATCTAAAGATACAGCTAGGAAGGAGGGAATAATGGCTCATGTAAATGGAAAATAGGTAATTTGGCTAGCAACCTACAATGCATATCCATCCTCCCAATAACACCAATGCTTTTCAACTCGAATATCATCGAAAACTCCGTTACCAAAAACTCCTATCCCTCCCCTTCATCATATCAAACAGAATATGAAGCTAATATGCCACCAGATTAACTCCCCAATAAAACTCAATATCAACTCGGGATTCAAAACCCCTGCGGTCCCTTTCCATCTACGCCTCCAGTTCTGAAGAACTCTGTTACCACGCCAATCGCATAGCATCCACTGCCGACAATGGCACCGCCTAATAATACTCTCTTTGCCTTGCCAGGCTTCTTGCTCTTAATTTCCGAGTGATCTTTCCAGGAAGATTTACCACTGAATACCGGTTCCTCACGTCGAACGTCAACGTTTGATTTGAACGGTGTTTCTGCTGATTCTGGCAAATCATGATTCACAAAACCAGTAGGACTGGCAAATCGTGCAGTTGCTACCTGCATACCATCTATTGGATTTGTTGTGTTATTCTTCAGATCAGCCTGCGAGGACGAGCGTCTTGATGGTCGTACTTTTCGGAATACAAGAACATCACCACTTCCGGATACAATCTCGTAACCCTCAGCCTGCAATGGTTGGAAGTGTGGGAAGAACTTCGCGGGGTTAGACAATCGAAGGAGAACCTCTGCAGGAGTCAAAGCTGATGCCGTATCAGTCACAATAGATGTTGTTTCAGCGATATTAATAGACTGCATTGTCGGATCGTAAGCCAAAACCTTATAAGTAGTTGGCTCAGGGCCCGACGCGGGCTTTTCTCCGGGTGAACTTGCAGCTGGTGCATCATTTGTAGGTACTTGACGATGTTTGGAGCCAATCTTTCCATAAGTATCTTCATAGATATCTCGGATTTCGCGAACCAGATCTTTGTCCTTACCAGATTGTTTTCTGGGCTTTCCATAAGATGAAACATATACCGATAAATCTCCTTCGCCTTGGTTTGCGCATTCCTCTTTATATGACGTCTCTAAGCCTTGAGGTACCTTCGAGTACGGATCAGTTTCTGCTATTGCTTTGGGCAAATTGGGCTGAAGAGATTTTGGCTTTGTCGCAGATCGATCCAAGGATGTTTGAAGTCTTGGTGTGTTTAGGTTACGAGAAAATGCTTCTTTCGAGCCAAAACCTTCAATATATTCCTTCTCAGCATTTTGAACAGATTGCTTGACCTCCATTGAATAAGAGAGCTCTAGTCCCTTGGGTGATTTGTCATAACCCCAAGCATCTTTAGACACTGTTGGCATCAGTTCTCCTGTGCCGTCTTTTTGTTGTGACCAAGACTTTTCAAATTCTTCTGGAAAATCCCGAACAAAGTTTCCTGTGACTTTTCGTTTCTCGACTTGTCCTACATTCTCATGATCTTTTTGACTAAGGGTCTCTGAACTTTCCACAGCCTTGGAGGCAGAGAGGTCGGGGGTTTCCTGTATCTTGGCTTGTGTCTGTCCTTTCGATTTCTGCTCCGAGGCAATGTCTTGAGCGTACTTGATTACATTTTGATGAGCTTCCTCAAAAGCTTTTTCCAGTTGCTCTCTCTTAGCGGACTTCTCTTCAAGGGTTTCTTTCTTTGTACTCTTGATTATACCCGAAGCAGCGCGAATATCACTTGCTCGAAGCAGGTCAAGATCCTCTCTCGTATCTGGCTCCGGGTATTTGCGCGAGAATTTTGAGGACAGCGAAGTTTTTGTCTCTACATTATTTTCTGATGAACTCGTGCCAGAAATCTCGGACTCGGAGCTAGGATGTTGGGTGATTTTTGCTTGCTTCTGATCATACTCTTTCAATGCTTCACGTGTCTGATCAGGGCTCTCGGGAAACTTTCCATCGGGCTCATTATAACGAAACGATCCATAAGAATTATCCGCATCATAATCTTTCAAACTTTCTCGAACTGCATCTGGTTTTTCGGAGAGTTTTCCATCCGGCTCATTATATCGGAAGGATCCGTATGAATTGCTTGTATCATATTCCTTCAACGATTCTTGCACTGCATCTGGCTTCTCAGGAAACTTTCCATCAGGCTCATTATAACGAAACGATCCGTAAGAAGTATCGGCATCATAATCTTTCAAACTCTCTCGGACCGAATCTGGCTTTTCGGGCAACTTTCCATCAGGTTCATTGTGACGGAAGAAACCATAAGTTGTGTGTGAATCATAATCTTTCAATGATTCCTGGACACAATCTGGTTGCTCTGGGAGCTTTCCGTCAGGCTCTCTATATCGAAAAGCATTATAAGACGTACAACTGTCATAAACTCTGAGTCCCTCTTGAACTGGATCAGCCTTTTGTGACGGTTGTCCGTCCGGTTCGTTATGAAAAAATGCCTTGTATCCTTTGCTTTCGTATTCCTTCAGAGATTCCCGTACAGAGTCAGGTTGCTCGGGAAATTTTCCATCAGGTTCATTGTACATGAATGGTTTGTTATAGGCATCAATATCAGCCTGAGTGGCATCATCTGGCGGAACTAGATTTTGAAATCGCTGACGATATCCCTTAAACTTCGTTACCGGAATCTTTACAGCCTTTTCATTTCTAAACACCTTTCGATTCGTGATTGGGTCTATCTGGTAGTTCTCATTTTCCAGCTCGAATTCATTGTCTAATTGGTTTTTGGACTTGAGATTTTTCCAGTATGCTTCGTCAGCTTGCGATAATCGGATTGATTCCACACCACCATCCGTACCTTCAACATCCGCTTTGAATGTGTACTTGGAGCGGGCGGGAGAAAAATAGATTGTTTTGCTGCGCATAAAGTTATGCATGGCACGTTTGTAGTCCGGAACACGCTCATCACTCTTAACACTTTTGGCCTCGACATATTTCTGCTTTAAGAGTCGATGACGGCGATTGAGCTCTTTTTCAAACCCATGTTCAAGGTGTGAAGACCAATAACCCATTCGAAATGCTCGTGTTTGATTGTGCGGACCTCGATTTGACAATAACCCTTGTGTGTTGTGCCAACTACGATTCGAGATTCGGAGTAGATTGGTAGAGGTAGAAATAGATCCATATCGAATCAGAGGAGACGTGGTCTGCGAGACCGAGGTGGTGAGCTGGGACAGCATCTCGAAGAATTATTCCGATCGTATCATGCTCGGGGACCTAAATAAGGTTTAACAAGATGACATACATTCAGGGACAATTATACTCACGAATAAAGTTTCATTCAACTCAGCCTTTAAAGTTGGCTATTTGGCAGGAGTTGCGTTGAAGTAGGTAAATTCAAGTGAAATGTTATAATCAAAAGATGATGCTATTTAAGTTAGAATGGCGAACTTATCGGAATGGGACTTTTGACAAAACAATAAGAGCTTTCGGACCATTGGAGTAACTTTAAACAAGGAAATCACCTCTGAATATCAAAAGCCCTTTTGTACATGGAAATGAAGTGTCAAAAGGAAAAACACAAAGGATAGTGCAGTGATATTTAAACCAAGAGCTGAGAACTTACCAGATTGGTTGCTTTATTCCGGTGCTTGTTGGATGGATGAATGGATGGACGGAAGGAAGGAAACTTTGGTTTCCTTTCTTTTGCTTGTGATTGATTGATTGATTGACCAATATGAACTGATTAGATACCGAATCAAATCAAATCAACAAATGAAGTAAGCGCGTATGATACGATTGCAAATAGCCAACGGAAAAACTCTCTCATGTATCTCTCTTCTTCGTTTAACTCGCAGTGAGGCCTCAGTATATCGATATCGATACCAGAAAGGAAAGCAAGTGAGGACGTGAGTGAGAAGAAGAGGAAGAAGAGGAGGAAGAGGAAAGCATCAGTTGATAACCTACCTCTACCTTAATCAATAAGAGAATAGCTCAAAGGCTGAGTATGGCTCGGTATAGGTAGCATGCGGGTATGTCCACCACCCATTCATGCACTTTGGTTGCGGGGTAATACGATTAGGGGATCCACTATGGATGCTAACCCCGAGGTTTCCCGAGCTGGATGGAGGAAGTGTCAGGGTGTTCCAGGGTGCTTCCCTTGTGTCTGGCTGGTGCACGGCCTTTCCCGCGCGGGAGAAAGTTGGTTGGTTGGCTGTTGGCTATTGGTGGGGTGATGTGCCTGAGGCATCATTGGAGATCACATGCCCAAGCTGGTAGGAAGATTGATATTACAATTTCTCTCCTGATGTTGAACATTCAACTAATAAGTACTTGAATTGGATATTTACAATGGAAATATGAATATGTCATCTGAATATCATTTATTCTCATTACAAATTGAAGAGTAGATCTCCTCGTCATTAATCTCTCTTTTCCAAACCCAAACATTTCAAATTCCTCTTCTCTCATCTAGAACCTAATAAGCTACCATAACATACTTTCACCCATCTCTTTAGTCTATATTTTCCTCTTCCCACATCAAACA